GATCCCAAGCATGGGAATAATTCTGAATTTCTGGTAGAAGGGGCTAGCAGTTCATGGTTCAAGGAAGAACTGTCACTATGGAAATGCTAACTTAAAGGGGAGCTATCTGAACTGAAAATCACTAAAGTGTTGCTTCAGTAATGGCTTGAGCTATTCTCATGTTTATTCAATACACATCAATAGCTTTGGATTGAGAATTTATGATGATAAACCAAATGATGTCTCCTCTTTTTCCTCCTCTTCCTTCTCTTCCTTTCCTTTTCCTCTCCTTCCCTTCCCCTTTCTCCTCCTCAATCTATCATTATTTTTCACTTCTCTTTGCTATTTGGGATATACATCGTGTGTGCTAGAATGTACAGGATTTCTATAATCATGATATATGATGATATTACATAGGACACATAAGGAGTATTGGGACCCATCTGAAATTTTTGCAGTGCTATTGGTTGATTTTTATGTAGCATGAATTCTGGTGATAAGAACTTGTGTGTAGTTGCTGATTTGAGGGGAAATTATAAAAGCTGGTTAAGTGAAGGGCAGTTTAACCAAAAAGAAACTTCATAAGAGCATACAGCTTTGTTGGGCTTGAGACATCACTTTGAGTTCATCATCACTTCCATGACGCTAATGTATACCCTAAATCATTAAAGTTTCCCGAGGTTGTGCAAGACAGACCAATCTATGTATTCACTTTATTATTATCCCCAAGCCCTCAAAGAGGCTAGAGCTACTAAGAAAATGTCGTTTAACACTTTAGGCTCAAAAGTTTCTGCCAAAACAAAGAGCCTTGCTGAAAAGAGACAAACTTACGACCGTTGATCACACATACATATTGACCAATGTGATTACAGAATGTTTCAGAAATAACTTTTTTTTAAATGTTATTCATTTTTGAGAGGGAGTCAGAGCATGAGCCGGGGAGGGGCAGAGAGAGAGGGAGACACAGAATCCAAAGCAGGCTCCAGACTCTGAGCTGTCAGCGCAGACCCCAATGTGGGGTGCAAACTCAAGAACCATGAGTTCATGACCTAAGCAGAAGTTGGACACTTAACCGACTGAGCCACCCAGGCACCCGAGAAATAACTTTTATCTGAGTCTGTTGCTCATCAAAAGTTTTCAATGTAATTTTTTAAAAACTTGGTTTTTCCTGAAATTCTGCATATCCTAATGGAATTTGATGAAACTTGTCTTTGATGAGAAACTTATCTCATTCCATAAGATAGGACAAATATGGCATGACTCCAAGCAAAGATACCATTTCCACCACAAGGAGTAGAACAAAACCAAGAGACCCTACAATGATATAATATATATATATATATATAATATATATATATATATATATATTATATATATTAGTTAACTATAAACTTCAGTAGTTTAGGTTGGTGCCTCCTGGTTGGGAAACTAGTACCCAGATTGAGTACAAGCAGATTGAGAAGTTACTAAATGAAGTACCTCAGGTTCAAAAAACCACTTCACAAAATAACTCTTTGACTTATTATTTGTTTTTTTGATAATTTTCTTTGCTGAAACTATAGAGCTCAGCTGAAAATTACACTGATGGCAGTCATGTTTTCGTAAGAAGAGTACCTATTTTGCCATCAAAAATTATCCTAAGAGGGTGCCTGGATGGCTCAGTCAGTTAAGTGACTGACTTTGGCTCAGGCCATGATTTCATGGCTTGTGGGTTCAAGCCCCATGTCAGGCTCTGTGCTGACAGCTCAAAGCCTGGAGCCTGCTTCGGATTCTGTGTCACCTTCTCTCTGTCCCTCCCCTGTTCAGGCTCTGTCTCTCTCTCCCTCAAAAATAAATATTTTAAAAATTTTTTACAAATTATCTTAAGGAGGGATAAGAACACTTAACTATGTGATTTGAACAAATGCATGTTAAAATAAATAAAGAGTATGCCATTGGGAATAAGGTAGCTGCCATGGCAGCTTAGCACATACACACATATGTTCAGATTACCTAAATACTGAGTATGTTGTATTCATTGAAAATTGTTACTAACTTATAGAATAATTATAGCCCACTTTTCAATTGCTGAGACTATATTATGTTTTCCACCATTAAGTATGAAATATATTGTAAATATGCATTAATTTTTGCTCTAATGGAAACAATGTAAACTTGTAAATTGGGATTCTGTAAAAGTGAGCATCACTTTCCCCCAAATTATAGGCCCAATTTTTTTTCGTCACCTGTAGCTGAGCTAATAATTCTGCTTTAAAACAAATAAAAATCTGGGAATGCAAGCTGGTGCAGCCACTCTGGAAAAGAGTATGGAGGTTCCTCAAAAAACTAAAAGTAGAACTGCCCTACAACCCAGCAATTGCACTACTAGGCATTTATCCATGGGATACAGGTGTGCTGTTTCGAAGGGACACATGCACCCCATGTTTATAGCAGCACTATCAACCATAGCCAAAGTATGGAAAGAGCCCAAATGTCCATTGATGGATGAATGGATAAAGAAGATGTGGTATATATATGCAATGGAGTATTACTCGGCAATCAAAAATAATGAAATCTTGCCATTTGCAACTACGTGGATGGAGCTGGAGGGTATTATGCTAAGCGAAATTAGTCAGTCAGAGAAAGACAAAAGTCATATGACTTCACTCATATGAGGACTTTAAGAGACAAAACAGACGAACATAAGGCAAGGGAAGCAAAAATAATACAAAAACAGGCAGGGGGACAAAAACATAAGAGACTCTTAAATGTGGAGAACAAACAGAGGGTTGCTGGAAGGGTTGTGGGAGGGGGGATGGGCTAAATGGGTGAGGGGCACTAAGGAATCTACTCCTGAAATCATTGTTGCACTATATGCTAACTAATTTGGATGTGAATTTAAAAAAATAAAAAATAAAATTAAAAAAAATAATAATAATAAAATAAAACAAATAAAAATGTATTTTGGTCATTATCCTAGCACAGTTCTTGGTAGAAAAGATTATCGATGCCGGAATATCCATATATAAAGCCAGGTTTGTGTTTTAAAGAGATGCCTTTAAATCTCATACATTATTCATGAGACTTTGAGGCAGCTCTTTGCCTCCTCCAGCTGATGTCATTTTAGCTCAATGAGAACAGCCAGGACACCATTCCTGCATTGAAGGTGCTTTCAACTGAGGGAGGAAGACAAGACCTACATACTTGGAAAAAGTGAAGAACACCCTTTGTATTACAGGTGAACACGCAGGCAAAGGGATTTCAAATCACAGAGGGGTGGGGCGCCTGGGTGGCCCAGTCCTTTGAACACCCAACTCTTGGTTTCTGCTCAGGTCATGATCTCACAGTTGGGCTCCATACTTGGGATTCTCTCTCTCTATCCCTCTCTCTCTTTGCCCCCCTCCTGTGCTCGTGCCCTCTCTCTCTCTCTCTCTCTCTCTCTGTCTCAAAATAAATAGACTTTTAAAAATATATAAAAATAAAATCACAGAGGGGACACTGAGCGGGTGGAGTTTATAAAGGAAATGCAGCAAGAGGTAAGTAAATGACCTTCCAAAAGGTGTGGAGTTTAGGTGCGGTGGCAAATTAAGAGTACTTTGTCAGAAACACCCTCAGAGATCCCAACTCTTTGGCCTTCTTGACACATTTGAATAATTTTAAAACGTGCCACAACTTTAGGAAGTGCAACATTATCTCCAAAAGCAAGACTTCCTGCCAGAAAGTCACCCTGATAAGGGAGCCGTGGGGGACAGAGAGGCCAGGCCTCCTCGCCTCCCCGTGGGCCAGCAGGAGCAGGAGGGCTGGCTCTGACTAGGGATGGGCCTTCCGAGTAGAAGGCGGAGGGTAGAGAACATGCCAGCACTTTCGTGGGTCCTGGAAACTTGTCTCGGGAGACGTAGAATTGGCTCCCAGGTGGCCTGAACGTCAGAGACACGTGACGCAGGGTGTGCCCAGCATGGCGCTGGGTCCTCCTCTGGATCGTCATCAGCAATGCCACGTCGACAGATGAGACCCTCTTGTTTTTGACTCTGATGTCCCAGAGAGTGGTGACTAGGGAAGGCCTCCTGCCACCCAGGGGGACCCAGGCCTCGCTTCTCAGGCTCAGGTGGCAGTTGGGAAAGAGCAGTGTGAGCAGAGGCTGGGAAAGGAGGGAGGCCTGATCCACGGGACCGGGGGCACCACGCTAAGGAGTCTCCCCCGCACTTTGACACAGTGGGGACCCAGAGGACGGGGCACCAGCAGAGGTGAAGTCAAGTCCCGCAGATGTAAAATCCTTCTGCAAGAGGGCCTTTGTATTCATATCGGCAGAATGGCCTAACTACTAAAATAGGCCGACGGCAAAATGAAAGGGCACCGGCTTTGCCTGTCCCTGCACAAAGTAAAAGGAGTTCCTTTCCTTTCTCCTGCCAGTGGGGATGTGCACTGGGGCGGGCAGAGACAGAGATCCCGAGCTGAGGGGACATGGGCAGTTCGGCAAGGACTGGGGACCATCCTGTGGATGGAGAGATGGGAAGTGGGCAGACGCTGTGACAACGGCGTTACCAGGCTGGACCGGCTCGAAGGCAGCTAGAAGTCCCCATCTGCACATTCCAGATGCTGGCCTTGCCCGGGCTTCGCTCTGCTCTGAGACTCCAGGGGTGTGGGTCCTGGAGATAACGGGGTCTCAGTACCGCCTTGGAACCCCTTCAAAGCAGAGGATGGCTTTGAAGAGAAAAGAGCAGGGCAAGACAGAAGCTATGAAGATCTCGCAAAGGCCAGTGAGCAGAAGAACCCGGACCTGGATGGAGGCCGAGGGCATGCGCAGGAGCTACGCTGACAAGACTGGGGACACTGATCGCCTGTGAGAATAAAGGAGAGAAATGGGCCAAGAATGCCCCTGAGGCTTCCAGCCCAGGCAACTGGGCTTTGAGGGGAAGCGCAAGCCTCTGAGAGAGGATAACGATCACTAGAAGCACGTTATTCATCAGAGCGGAGTTTGAACCCCCGAATAACCAAGAGAATCCACATATGTGACAAGACGAAATATATGAAAGAACACGAAATGCGATTAAATCTGTTTATTGAAATAAACTGTAGTACAGATTGTTTTCAGCATGTTATAGATGTCACACGTTTCTCCTACTAACAGATGATAGCCAGATGAAACACGATAGCAGAAGAATCTAGAATAATGCATTTTATTACTGAGACTCTCCCCAGAGGTCAGCAAACCCAACCCAACCCTTGAACAGATGAGGAAACTAAGGACCAGACAGGCTGGCATCGTCCACTCTACAAATGTTTAGGGCACTGACCATGTGCCAGGCACTTACTCGGTGCTGGGCATATAAAAGCTAACACCACGTGGTACCCGTACTCAGGGAGCTCGTAGCCAGGCTAGTGGGCAATAGTGTCCAGTAAGCAGGAAATTAACACACGGCCGAGGCAGTGTTGTGAGAACAGCGTGCTCAAGCTATCGGGGGCACCCGATCCAGGCTCAGGAGCTGCTCTCTGAAGGTCAAGTGCGAGCTGAGCTGGCAGGGATACACGGAGCTCGTATAGACAAACAGGTTGTGAAACAGTGCCCCGGGAAGGCCCGGGTGAGGGAAAGCACAGTGCATTTCGTTAACCCAAGGAGTTCAAGTACAAAGGAACTCCACTCCTGGATTTTGAAGACAGCAGTCTCCTGACTTCCAATTCGATGCTATTTGGAGAATACTATCCATCTTTCTAGGTCCCCTGACAAATATGTGGCCATTCGGCACATACATATCAATACTCTTGCATAGAAAAAAAGGAAGCATACGTGGCTCATGCTTACCCAGGTACAGACGTTAAGATTTTCAAACCCTCTTGTTTACAGTGTCTCTTGGAGGAATCATTACTTTGCATTATGGCCTCTCATTTCCTCCCCACATTTCCATCAGTGGGGTCATGCCATAAAGCCCTTATGTCTGGAAGGGATTTTAAGGAATCACTTTGTCAGTGGCCACGGGAGCAGGAGGCGGGGCTGGGGGAGCAGTCACCACCCCGGTGCGGGCAATAAAGGAGCTGTTATCTGTAGAGCACATAAAAATTTATAGTACAGCTGACCAAAATCGTCCTGCATTTTATCACCACCACGTGGCAGCAGTCCAGCAGTCCTCAGTCAAGTCAGTAGTGAAACACTCCTCCCTGCCAAGGCAAAGTGCTCCCGCGGACCCCCGCCCGTGCACGCCAGTGCGCTTGGATACACCTGCACAGACAGAGAGCACACTTAAATGCACCTGCACACGCAGAAGCAGACAGCGCCCGCACAGGCTGTGCACCTGTCTGAAATCCCCAGGGTTGCCCTCTCTTCCCATTCCTGTCACCACACATTCTCCAGTCCACTCCCTTCTGTAAACAAAGCTTGAATCGTCAAAAAAATCGTATATACAAAGAACCCCCTATCGATGTGCATCTTCCTACAATGATGACATTTATCTCCAGTGAAGGTTCTCGTTTCTCAAAAGCCTCAAATCCCTCTCGAGGTGGGGATGACGTCGGAGGCCACCACTTCTGTGCTCACGGGCTTACCAGGAGCAATCCTCACCCATCCTTTCCAGCTGGGCCATCTGGCAGGTGCTCGGCGGGGTAAACACCGAGGGGTCTTTAATACCCAGCTGTATGTCAAAAAACCGCGTGGACAATATCACACTGTAATTTTTGGTGAAGGTTTCCTGGACGGGATAGCAATCCTTGACTGTATAAATGCCAATCCAGGTTTCATCTGTAAGAGAAAGAGAGGGTGACTTAAAAAAATTCTTTTTAATCTTTATTTTTGCAAGAGAGACAAAGTGTGAGCAGGGGAGGAGTAGAGAGAGAGGGAGACACAGAATCCGAAGTAGGCTCCAGGCCCTGAGCTGTCAGCACAGAGCCCGACGCGGGGCTCGAACTCACAAACCGTGAGATCACGACCTGAGCCGAAGTAGGAAGCTCAACTGACTGAGCCACCCAGGCGCCCCCTGGGGGGGACTTTTTTTTTTTTTTTTTAACGTTTTTATTTTTGAGACAGAGAGAGCATGAATGGAGGAGGGTCAGAGAGAGGGAGACACAGAATCCGAAACAGGCTCCAGGCTCTGAGCTGTGAGCACAGAGCCTGACGCGGGGCTCGAACTCACAAACCGCGAGATCATGACCTGAGCCGAAGTCGGCCGCTCAACCGACTGAGCCACCCAGGCGCCCCTGGGGGGGACTTTTTAATGTAGAAGGTAAGGCAAAATGCCTGTGTTGTTTGCTTTCTTTTTCTCTCGTGGGAAAATATACATAAAATTTACCATTGTAACTATTTTTAAGTAGTTCAGTGGCATTAAGTACGGCATTAAGCCATCACCACCTCCATCTCCAGAACTCTTTCATCTTCCCCAGTTGAAACTCTGTGCCCTTTGACACTAACTCCTCGTTCCCCTCCCCCAGCCGCTGGCAACCCCCGTTCCACTCTCTGTCTCGGGGAACGCGACTATTCTTGGCATCTCATGTAAGTGGAATTATATGGTAGTTTTCCTTTGCTGACTGGCTTATTCCACTCAGCGTAATGTCCTCAAGGTTCATCCACATGGTAGCGTGTGACAGAATATCCTTCCTCTTTAAGGCTAAATAATACTCCATTGTCTGTTTACACCACGTTTCGGGGATTCATTTACCTGCTGGGGGACACTTGGGTCGGTTTCCACCATCTGGAGGAATTATTATTCATTCATTCATTGTCATTAAGTATGCTGCTATACACATGGGTGCACAAATATCTTCTTGAGGCCTTGCTTTCAGTTCCTTTGGATATACACTCAGAAGTGGAATCGCTAGGTCATATGCTACTTCTACGCTAAACTCGGCGGCGGGGATGGAGGGAACTGTTTTCGTACTGTTTTTGACTGTTTCCCACAGGCACCACAAAGCCTGTGTATTCGAAACAGCTTCGGGGTGGGCATATGGAAGCACCACCGAGAACAGCTTTCTGTCTATACGCAAAAGCAGACACTCAGAATGACAGGAGGAGATCTGGTCACTGTAACCTCAGGAAGTGATATGGGGACTCGAACGTATACCTTAGACAGACATCTTCTGCGTCATAGATCTCAGGGTCATTAAACATCAGAGCCAAGGCTAAGCCCGTAACAGCCAAGGTGGCAGAAAGGTACAGGTGGTGCTGGAAGGCAGAGGTGTTTCAAATGTGATGCATATACCCTGGAGCTAAACCACTAGCAGATTACACAGGGGGCTTCAAAGCACATGCGGGGGGACATTAAACAATTTGATTAAGCTTGTCAATTTCCTTAACTACCTTCCTTAGTGAACTTAACCTTTTTTCCCATCATACTTTCTGGGACGCAGCACTTGGATAGTTTTTGAAGCCTTACATGATCTAGCTGACTTTCTGTCGGACCACTCCTGGACAGTGATCTGTTCCTGGGGTCCCCCTATGGAGTACTGGTCCTCAAAGGTCGCATTCTGAGGAATGTCTAGAGGGTCCCAGGGGTCCGTCAGGGTGATCTTGGAGCACTGCTTGGTGGCTTGTTCAATCTGAAACATCACTCCATCCTTATAGAGCAAAATATATTCAAATAATCTGAAAGACAGATATAGAGAGACCATATCAGGACTTTATTGTCAGTCGTCATGCCTTTTGTCAGCACACCGTCCAAAGGCCTGCAATATGAATTACTCTTGGAATAGAACAAGCAGAAAAAAACAGTTTGGCTTGCTAGGCATTTATTTATTTATTTATTTATTTGTGAGCACTAGACACTTTGATAACCTAAATACAAAATAATTAAAACTAAGAGTTCAAAACTGAATATTGAATAACTGAGCACCTATTATATGCCAGACTCTGTGCTTAGGCTACAAACATGGGGAAGACAGGGCCCTGGGTTAATGGCTGGTTTGTGACATTGTAGCACAGGAACGCAGGAGGATTTGACCCTTGGCTTGGTTCAGTTCTCCTTGCAGCACTGAATCGGGCATTACCGGGGTGCCCTATGTAGGGCATCGAGAAGCCGCTGAGGTCAGACCACACACCTGTGCCCCACTGTCTCAACTGTCAGTCATGAGTAATGGGTTTTGGGGTGAGGCACAGCGGTGTGAAAATGGGGCCCTCCTCCCACATCTGGAGGAGGCTGAGACAAGCAGGCAGAGGGTGAGGGGACCCCAGAACAACTGGTTTCCACACAGTTTGTCCACACGCTCTAGGCCTTGTCTCTCCTGCCCACGTGCATGCCCCATGTGTGGAGTGAGCCAGAGGTGTTCCCAGGCTGGGCCAGGAGTCTGCAGACGCGCCCTGTCTCCCAGCACACGGCATTGTCACCAATCCTGCGTCAATCTTAAAGCTAAGCAATCCTGGTGCTGGGTGAAGCCAACGGTGGGGGACGGCGGGGGGGCTTCCGAAACGTGCTTGATCGTCAGTCTGAGACTCGGGCCACTGCTGGTCCAGCAGAGTGAGACTGCAGGCCTTGAACTCACACAGTGAAGAGCCTACAGAGGGTGCTTTCGATGGGCAAATAAAAGACAACCAACATATTATCTGTGGTATGTGAGGCTCACTCCACATCACAGACTCCGTCTGCCTCCAGGGCGAATGTTCACCATCCCAAGTCCGAGCTTAAAAAGTATTTTCTAGAAAAACTATTATAAATGATCACTGTCTATGTGGTCAAAAAATAGTATCACTATTTTAGCGTTATGCTTCCGTTTTCTACCGAGCCAGTATGGAAATGTACACATGACCTCATTTTATAGATTTAGGTATATACTTATCCTGCTTCGTTCCAGGAAACACTTGAAATGGCTTATGAGGGTCAAACCCATGCACAGACTTTTAGAAATGGGAGTGATCACAGAAAGAAAAGGAAGTGTTCATTTGCTGCGACAGTGCTCCCATAAACGTGGAGCCAACCTCTCATTATAATACACATGCAGGGTTCACACCCTACTGAAAGCCCTTCGAAGGAGATGGGGTTGGACTGTCACTGTCTTCTCATGCCCAGAAAAAATCCCTGGCACATCAGTCTAAACATTCGTGTAAGGAGCACAGACACCCGGGGTGCCTGAGTGGCTCAGTCTGTTTAGCGTCCGACTCTTGATTTCTGCTCAGGTCATGATCTCGTGGTTCGTGAATTTGAGCCCCGAGTCAGGCTCCACACAGAGCATGAACCTACCTGGGATTCTCTCTCTCTCTCTCTCTCTCTCTCTCTGCCCTCCCCAAGTTGCACATACTCTCTCTAAATAAATATTTATTTTTTTTTCAACTTTTTTTTTTGGGGGGGGGACAGAGAGAGACAGAGCATGAACAGGGGAGGGGCAGAGAGAGAGGGAGACACAGAATCGGAAGCAGGCTCCAGGCTCTGAGCCATCGGCCCAGAGCCTGACGCGGGGCTCGAACTCACGGACCGCGAGATCATGACCTGGCTGAAGTCGGACGCTTAACCGACTGCGCCACCCAGGCGCCCCTAAATACTTATTTTTAAAAAAAAGGAGTACAAAGACATCCGTATCAATTTTAGAGCACTGTCCATTCATAAACACGGGACTCTGTACAGAGATCCTGTTCTACGATCCTCCCTGACAGTGGGCCCCACGGAACACCGTATGCCCTCAGAGGTGACTGTCTTCTTTATTCTTCTCCTCACCATCAGCACCCACCCCTTGTGCCTTCCCAAGTCCCAGGCATTAGCCTAGACAGCCATTCGTCACTTTTGCTGAAACCCCGATGGCGTGCTTCTCAAAGCGTAGTGACTGCCCCTGGAAGATACGCACCATGGGCGGGGGAGGTGCGGGGTCCTTCCTGAGAACAACCCTTAGCTCCCAAACCCACAGGTCGCAGAAGGTGGGAGCCTGGCAGCCATTCTGGCCATACATGGGCGGGCCCCCCTCCACGGAGCTGACGGGACCGGAGGTGAACATCCCGCCCAGGGCCAGACCATCAGATCCTCATCCACAAACATGTGGAATTGCGCCTGCGCAGGTCATATGTAAACTCAGAAGCTCTGGGAGGCTCTTTCCAACCTGTGAACTGAGCAAGAGGGAAGAATGAAGCGGAGAGAGGCACCAGGAAGCGGGGATTCCAACAGCTGGTCCCCCCTGGATGCATTCCTGTGTCCTCTGTTGTAATAAACTTTCCTTTCTTCTGCTTGGAACTTTTTGTGTGACTCACAACCGGGACTCATCTCTAAGATAGTTGAGGACTCCGCGGCTTCCACCTGGAGCCCTGGAGAACAGCCGCTGGGACGGCTGTGCTGTGTGTCATGCGGTGTCGTGGCGGACCCCTGGCCACCGCCGCCTGCCCGGGCAGCCACCAGCTGGGGAAAGGAAGGGGCAGCGGGAAAGGAATTCTGCCAGCCGCGCCGTTGTCCCAAGGCCAGCTCTGCCCATACACACACAGAGGTAAAATGCCATTTCAAAATGAGAACTCTAGACTTGAAGGAATCGCTACAAAACAGTTAACCTTTATTACTTGTGGGTGGTCTGAACACAGGTGGTTGTTACAGTGCTCTCTGTAACTTTTCTGCTTCCAAAATATTTAGTATTTTCAAAAGAGGCCATAATCTGATACCGAGGTTATGTTGACAGTGCCTTAAGTAAGACAGAAAATATTAATTCAACGGGAAACCAAATACAACCGTATAACTGGTTTTTTTGTTTTTTGTTTTTTGTTTTTTGTTTTTCAAAATCCCATATGGGTAGAAAAGCGAGTACTGATCCATAGGAAGTTTTGGAAAAGAAGCTTTTCACAGTGCTGTCGTGGCTGGGGTGTTTATGGGAACACATTCATAGTTCAGACGTAAGGTTCTCCGTCTCAAATAGGATACAGGCTCCGGAGCCCGATAGAGCCATTAGGTCAAAATGCAGAGATCAGCCAGGGTTGAAATGAATCATCTGCCTGGGATGCTGTGCGGGTTATTACCTCCGGAGACCCAAAGGACTGACTGTCTTCAACAGAAACTCGATCCCGGGAAGCAAGATCAAAGCCTGGCTCTGAAGCAAAGGAAGTTGTAAGGATGGGAGTCACAAATGACACCCCCGGGGTGCAAGCAAGGTGAGGTGCTGGAAAGGGCTTGGAGGACAAGGCGGGCAGGCCAGGCCTGGGTCAACAACAGCCTGCAAACTCCTCCTTGCTGGCCAGACCCCAAGCAAAGCACAGTTCCCGGGAGGGCCCTGCCAGGCCTGGGCTGTGAGCGAGGTCAGGCCATCCAGGCCCGGCCAAGGGGTCAGCAGGCTGAGCTCTCACAGCAGCCTCAATGCAGACGCAGGGCCCAGGCAGGGCTCCATTCTGCCGCTCGCCTCGTGGGACCAAGGATTTTTGTTGCTTCTGACAAACTTCTCAGGCTACATTGACCATTTCTGTTGTTTCCTGAAAATCCATTTTCCTAAATATTAGCCTCTACCACCCGCATGTTCTCCAAAACACTGAAAACCTGCCGAAGTTTTAGATCTTTTGAAAACGGATGTCTGGTTTTTGTAAAACTGATTCACATTCAAAGTTAAAAAAGAAAAAAATCCAAACAGTACAGAAATGGAAAATGAAGTAAAAATTGCCCAGAAACTCGAACTTACAGAAATAACAACTCTTTGCCTCTGTGGCTAAACATATAGTGATATTTTCACTTAAATTTCTTAAAATTGTGGTAAAATAGAACACAAAATTTACTATCTTAAGCATTTTTAAGTGTATAGTTCAATAGTGCTAGGTACATTCATATTGTTGTGCAACCAGTCTCCAGAATTCTTTTCGTTTTGCAAAACTGAAACTCTATGCCCATGAAACAGCTCCCCATTTCTCCCCCGCCCAGCTCCTGGCAACCACTCTTCCACCTTCTGTCCCTATGAACTTGACTGCTCTAGAGACTTCCTACAAGTGGAATCATTCAGTAGCTGTCCTTTTGTGATTGGCTTATTTCACTGAGGATAATGTCTGCAAGTTTCATCCATGTTATAACACGTGTCAGAATTTCCTTCTCTTTTTAAGGCTGATATTCCATTGAATGCATATAGCACATTTTGTTTATCCATTCATCTGTGGATAGATCCTGGGTTGTTTCCATCTTTTGGCTATTGTGAATGATGCTGCTATGAACATGGCTGTGCAAATATCGTACTGAGTTTTCATTATGTGTACTAGACACATTTTACAAAAATGAGCGAATCTAATGTCTTTTTTAATGGGTGAATATAATGTTCTCTAACCTACACTTTACCTTAATTTTTTTTATTTTAATGTTTATCTTGAGAGAGAGAGAGAGAGAGAGAGGGAACGCAGGGGAGAGGCAAAGAGGATCCGAAGCGGGCTCTGCACTGACAGCAGCAGACCCAACACAAAGCTCGAACTCACGAATCATGAGATTACGACCTGATCCAAAGTCGGATACTCAACCGACTGAGTCACCCAGGCACCCCTGAAATATTTTTTAAATGCAGAAGAGTTGGAGGACTATAATGATCACCTTTGTGTCTACCACTTAGATTCAATAATTGTTACATTTTGCTATATTTGCTTTTTCTAAATATTTGCTGAAAACAAGGACTTTCTGCTTTCTGGCCACACTACCACTATCACACCTAAGAAATTAAAATTCATTCCCAGGGGCGCCTGGGTGGCTCAGTCAGTTGAGCGCCCGACTTCGGCTCAAGTCATGATCTCACGGTTCGTGGGTTCGAGCCCCGCATTGGGCTCTGTGCTGCCAGCACAGACACTGAAGCCTGTTTTGGATCCTGTGTCTCCCTCTCTCTCTGCCCCTCCCTCGCTCGCGCTCTGTCTCTCTCTGTCTCAAAAGTAAATAAACATTAAAAAAAAAATTTTTAATAAATAAATAAATAAAATTCATTCCCTAATGCCAGCTAATATCTGGCCCATATTCAATTGTCCCCCCAAAATGTATTTTAAACTCTTTTTTAAAAATCAGAATGCAGTCGGGGTGCCTGGGTGGCTCAGTCGGTTAAGCATCCGACTTCAACTCAGGTCACGATCTCGCGGTCCGTGAGTTCAAGCCCCGCGTCGGGCTCTGGGCTGATGGCTCAGAGCCTGGAGTCTGCTTCCGATTTTGTGTCTCCCTCTCTCTCTGCCCCTCCCCCGTTCATGCTCTGTCTCTCTCTCTCTCTCTCAAAAATAAATAAACGTTAAAAAAAATTTTTTTTAAGTAAAAATAAAAAAAAATCAGAATGCAGTCAAGTCTCAAGCAATATATTTGGTTGTTAAATTTCTACTGTCTTAAAAATCTGGAACACTACTATCTTTTTTATTTTTAATGTGGCCTTTGACTCTCTGAAGATTCCAGATCCGCACATATTCCCCATTCTACACTTTTGTCAGTTTCCTAATTTAACTTGTTCCTCTATATCCTGTCATTCCTCCAAACTAGACATGGATTCTAAAGTCTTGATGTGCTTTGGCTAAAGATTTTTGGAAAGAAATTGAGTGGGCTGTGTACCTCCTGGTGCATCACATCAGAAGACAGGTGATGTCCCATGCCACTATCAATGCTACCAACTCTGATCACCAAGTCCTGTCCTTACTCCAGATGCCTTCAGCATAGAGGTGCTTCCTTTCACAGTTAGCAAGTAATTGATCAGTAATACTTGGTGAAGCTGGGGAACAGCCCGTTAGCCAATAATTGTCACCTCATGGTTTTAGGTAAAACCATTTCCTGAATCAATTGTCGCTGGAGATTGGTAGATTGGTACCAATGGTATAACAAATGACATCTATCTATTTATCTATCAATCACCACCCAGGACGCAAGGATTTTTATGTACTCAATGCACGACAAAGTCATTATTCCATTTGATGCTCAAATTGTCCCAAGTTCCCTCAGTGGGAGCTGCTTCCAGCTGGTATTTGTGACTTTGCTGTGCCCCCTTAGTGTTTGAATGCTGTGTATACATATGCATGTATATGTGTGTATATGTATGTCTATATATATATATATATATATGCCCGTGTATAAATATGCATGTATATGTGTGTATATGTATGTGTATATATGTATATGCTTGTGTATATATGTATATATGTGTGTGTATGTGTTTGTGTATATATGCACATGCATCACATGTGTGTTTCTGTACACACACACACACACCATGTTTTGCTTTAGTGATCTCCTACTCATGATCACTTAGATTATTTCCACAGTTTGTTAATATTAACAAAGCTGAATATAAATTGGAGGTAAACCCTTTTGGCTTTCTCTGTTTACAACTCTATGAAAAGTTTATAGACTGGAATTGTTGGATCAAATAAAATTCCCATTTTATATTTTACAAGATACTGTTTCCCAAAAGGAATTTTAACTGGATGTAGAGCTTCATTCATTTTTTTTTTTTTTTTTTTCATTAGAAAGGTACTGGCGGGCGGTGCCTGGGTGACTCAGTCAGTTAAACATCTGACTTCCGCTCAGGTCATGATCTTGCCGTCTGTATGTTCGAGCCCTGCATCGGGCACCTACTTCGGATTCTGTGACTCCCTCTCTCTGCCCCTCCCCTGCTCATGTTCTTTGTCTCTCTCTCTCTCTCTCTCTCTCTCTCTCTCTCTCTCTCAAAAATAAATAAACATTAAAACAAATGTTTTTAATTAAAAAAAAAAAGTACTGAAAATTTACCCAACTAAGAGCACCTGGGTGGCTCAGTCAGCTAAGTGTCCAACTCTTGGTTTTGGCTCAGGTCTTGATCTCAGGGTTTGAGAGACTGAGCCCCACACTGACAGCATGGAGCCTGCTTAGGATTAGCTCTCTCCCTCTCTTTCTCTGCCCCACCCCTGCTCTCTCTGTCTCAAAATAAATAAATAAACATTTTTTAAAAAGTTTGCCCTGGGGTGCCTGGGTGGCGCAGTCGGTTAACCGTCCGACTTCAGCCAGGTCACGATCTCGCGGTCCGTGAGTTCGAGCCCCGCGTCAGGCTCTGGGCTGATGGCTCGGAGCCTGGAGCCTGTTTCCGATTCTGTGTCTCCCTCTCTCTCTGCCCCTCCCCCGTTCATGCTCTGTCTCTCTCTGTCCCAAAAATAAATAAAAAACGTTGAAAAAAAAAATTTAAAAAAAAAAAAAAAAAAGTTTGCCCAACTATACTAAGGCAGGGGAAAATCTGTCTAGTTCAGGATAAGGTTTACAGACAGCATGAACTGCACTGTAAACAAAGCTGAGGTGAAGAAATCCAGGTTCCCAATCTCCTACTGGTGACCTGCGATCATAATTTTAATCTCCCTGTTTCTCATATGTAAAGAAAGACCAAAAATTTGAAGCTCAAAGTATTTTTATGAAGATGATTTGAGACAGCAGACATAAAATTGTTACATAAATGCAAGGGATTATAGCTTTATAGAAAAGTCTGGCAGTGGGTACGTTTACTATCACCCGTTAATGTTTAACAGGGAAACTACGCATTTGACTTGTGTACGTAAGACCAGATCGGCTGTGTAACAAAGAAGGTCTAGTTCATCCAGGTGGGGTGAAGGATGAAGGGGAGACCAATCTTTTTTTTTTTTTTCATTTTTTTTTTCAACGTTTATTTATTTTTGGGACAGAGAGAGACAGAGCATGAACGGGGGAGGGGCAGAGAGAGAGGGAGACACAGAATCGGAAACAGGCTCCAGGCTCTGAGCCATCAGCCCAGAGCCCGACGCGGGGCTCGAACTCACGGACCGCGAGATCGTGACCTGGCTGAAGTCGGACGCTTAACCAACTGCGCCACCCAGGCGCCCCAGGGGAGACCAATCTTGAATGCGATAGCGGACCCCTCTGTAGCAGCCCTGCAGGCATCTGACCCTTTCTCTCTTGCCTGCCTCTCAATATAGAGGTTGAGGAAGTACACTCATCTACTCACTTCCTTAGTTTCCCTTGGAGCTGGGGGTACAGTTGGTTCTGGCCTTGGAGATATAAAAGGAAGTCTGTTGGGTGAAGAAATGCCCTGGAGATTTCTCTTTTCCCAAAAAAGCAGACTCCTTGTCCCGCTCTATGTCCTTCATTTCCTGTCTTTGAACATAAGGC